AGATACAGTTGTTCTCTCACTGTTGCCTGTACCACTCAGGCTCACACTCATGGTATATTAGGGCATTAGATCCCACGTCTAACTGACATGTAGTAACAATACATTTCAGTGTACTCCAAGTTATAATCGGCCAACCTTTATATCTTATAACTGTTACACTGCAAAAAAGCTTGGCCCAAAATTAAGATATAAACACTTAAATCTATCAGAAAATGACTTGAAAATAGTAAAAATATGTCCATGTAGCAAGATAATTTTACTTGACAAGTCATCTTAAAATAAACTACCTCTAGACTAGAATTAAGTGTCTCAGAACTAGTACATAGATGATTCAGCAGAAAAGAAGATGAATAGAAGTTTTAAAATTTTGGCCAGATCAGAGAAATTTGCAGTGTACTATCCAAAAAGTCTGGGTTTTTTTTCAGTGTAGTGAAAAACCCTATTTAATTAAAAACTGCTAATATCTACCATGGTCATTTTGAGACTGGACTATGCACAGCCCTTCAGCACAGGGTGATCTTTGCCCCACCCCCAGGCCCACACACACCTGTCCATACAACCTCCATGGCGAAGGATAAACCCAGATTAAGCTAAAGTTACTCACTCTCTCCCCACGCTGTCATTCAAAACCTACATCCACAATGCAGCTTTCTGGACATCCCATAGTCACTATTACCTGAGGGACATCAAACACAGGATTATCATGGGACTGTGCTGACCCGGCTAAATACTCAGAATGGTTTATTTATGGACTTGGACAACTCCAATTTGTTTTTCTTTTAAAGCCAGTGTGTTGAGCTCACCTCGTTGTTTGAAGAGAATACAGTAATCCTTCTAAGATGATAATAGTGGAAATGAGACAAACAAGATTAGAAACATATAGGCAACAATTATATTACTTAGCTTGAGATACAATAAATACCTCGAACAGGGGAGGGCAAACTGTGGCCCACGGGCCACATCTGGCCCATTTAACATTTCCATTCTGGCCCTGTCAGGTAACAAAACAGTATCATGCTCTCTGTGCATGCACATAGGGTTCTGAACTCCAGTAAGGTTACTAAATTAGCATTTATGTTTATAAAGTCCCACATCCACCTCTGCTCCAGCCTCTTAGTGTGTGCTCACTCACAGCCTTGTATTTGTTTCCATGGAAATCTTGCTCCTTTGGCTGTCATGTTTCACATTGTGGCATAAAACCTCTCCGTGGAGAATGTTTCTGAAGAAGTGAGTTAACTTTCCATTTCCGTGGAATCATGCATGTAACATGTCACATTCAGAAAGTTACATACTACACCTTTAAATATGTGTACATGGACAAAACATCTTGAAATGTCTCATGCTAGCAGAGGGAGCTGTGGATGCATCTGCTGACATATTAAAGAAGGAATTAGTTTGTTACAAGCCAAAAACTTTTGTAGTGAAGATAATTTAAGCATTGAAACAATTTTGTTGAATAATATTGACTTTAAAAACATGGAGGAGCTTTATGAATTGCATTATGGCCTGTTTCCATGAGGAACAGGCTTTATAGCTCTGAAGAAAAAAAATAAAGATACAGGAATATTTGACAATTTATCATTATATTACTATTATTAAAGACAGGTTTGCATAATTGAATAGTTCCTTTGCAAACATAGTACTTTTCTTTTTTATTCTTATTTTCAGTCAGACATGCTGCTTTGAATCATGTTAGCTGTGGCTAACCACAACTTGCATGTTTCTTCATGTTATTTTCCCCCCATTGTCTCATCTGTTCACATACTTTAGCCATAAGGGGCCCCTCCCAAAATGAGCACAAGTCAAGTCGTCCCAAACAGGGTTCAAAGGTCACAGCTCTATAATCCCTGAAACATGAGTGAAATAATCCGGGATGCCTCAGTGCTCCTCTGTCACGCTTTTGTTTTTCGGGTAAATGATCTCGAAACAGGACAGAGAGGAAAGGGGAGGGGATGTTCTTTGGGTTCTCTAATTTGTCTGACCATGCATAAAGGGTTAATGAGAGGAGAGAATGAAGCAAAGGTTAGGATTAGGATCAGTGTTGCATCAAAAAGCAACACGGTGGCAGGTAGAAAATATTACAGTATATTAACAATACACTTTCATTTTTATTTTTATTTGTCACAGCAACCGTGCTAACTGACTAACAGATCAGAAGTCAAACCATTAAAAATTTCTATAAACTAAATATACTAATGAATGCATTTAGTTCTAGTGAAATATAGCAACTGAACTACTTTGATAACCTTAATTTATTTGTGAATCCATTTTGAGTATAAAATGAAAACATATAAAAACATGCAGGCATTACATACTGCAATAAATTATTAACATAATTGTCTCTGTAAGGAAATTTGTCCTCTATTTGACCTTACTTGGTCAGTCAGAACCACATGGTTTGACAAAACTTTGCAAAGATAAGTGGGTCTGGAATTGTATCCTGTCTCCCCATTCCAGCAGGCATGATTGGCAGGCGGATTAACCAATCAGCATGGTCCATTCCAGCAAAAAAAAAAAAAAAAAAAAAAGATTTAGATGGGAAAAAACAACATAGAAGACTGAGAAACAGCACAGATCTCTGCAGAATCAACCATCAAAGCACTAAAATGTTATTGATCTCAGGTAAAAGAAGTTATATATTTTTTAGAATATGAAGAATTTTCAAGAGACGTCTTCTGCATTCGAGAGACACATGATACAAATTAGCTGCTGTGGTTGGAGCGCTCTGAGTTGGGACGGTTTTTCACACTCCATAGTTCGGTTCCTTCTGGATTCGAACAGAAAAAGATTGGGTGTTCACATTCATAAAAAAACACATGGGCAACTTGTCAGGAGCATTGAACCCACCTCCACATCTTGAGTTAAGATTGTTCAGGATTACTTTAGCTGGCAGGTGTTACTTATTGTGCATGTGCAGTTTTGGGGTTCAGAGCATAGACGACATATGTAAATGGACATAGCTAACTTGCTACTCGCCACATTCTAAATAGGAAGTAAATATAGGGGTGCTTCCAGCTCCATCAACTCTGGCTCCAATTAACTTTACACTGAAAAATTGTCACCCCTCTCTTTGTAACTGCTGTGGTGAGTCTCATCATTTTGACCTTAAATATTCATATTAACTTGTTCCACATGATCTTGTTTTTTTTTTAAAGTTTTTTTCTTATCTTTCACTTCCTGTAAATAAATTCCCATAGTATGGAACTCGGCTCCAAATTTGCTCCTATAACTGCTTGGCCAGGCTGGTGCCACTAGTGCCTCCGCTCAATTTAATTTCTCCAGCGACTTGGTTAGGAATCAGAATACACTAGAAGGTTTGCAAGAACCCCGGAAGTGTGAGTTTGGGCACCAGCCAATCAGCAAATACATTATGTGTTGGCGAAGATTCCCGAGATCGAGGATTTAAGGCCGAAACAAAGAAAATGTTTGGTGAATTTTATCAAGAGGGAAGACGTAATTGACCTTCTTCCTATGGGATTTGGGAAAAGTTTAATATACCAGTTAGCCCTGTTAGTGGCGCATTACATACATCACAACCAAATAGCAGCAACTGGTTAAAAAACGTACTTGCCTACTACTGAGCGAACGAATCCTAATGCTGCGAGGAGACGGTTTTCACGAAGTGAAAACAGAAATGCCCTGTGCCTCCAGGAACCTTTTAGCGGTGAGGTAAAAGTGCTAGCCACATGTGGTTTACCTTTCTGGTCTTCGATATCATAGAATTCATAACTATTATTATGCGAGAGCAATTCAACGTATCAAAGGATAGTTTTTTGTTTTTTTTTCTGTTCTGCAAAAACCTCTTGGAAAATGTCCTTGCAGAAATTACACTGGTTAATATTGAAGGAGACAAGGACTATCAAACCTGTCCATTATTTTAGCTGAACACTGAGTTCTGCTCCACTGGACTCATACAGAGGAGAGGAGGACCTTTTCAACAAGACATAAAATACTCATCAAACTGGCTCTTAGAAGACATTAGAGGAGTTTTGAGGGACACAGTGATTGGAAAGAATTGACCAAAATGAGCAAGACAATGTCAAAAAGTGAATACAATTGAAAAAAGGTTAGGGTTAAAATGGTAAAATGTATCATGTAGTTTACATTTATAAAGCAGACATAAAGGTAGGATAGGTTTCTAGCCCAAAGACAGAAGAGCAGTGGGAGCGGGGATTAAACCAATAACCTGTGTGTTAGATGGTGAATGCTTGACCACTGAGCCACTACCGTCCCAGGTGATTTTATGTGCACAAATTCAATCTGATCACACTGAAAACACTTGAAATGTGTCAATTAATCAGTTGATTTTTAAAGTGGCCATTGTATTTAAAACACACAGTACAATTTATTTATTTTCTCTCTCATTTTTGTCTTTGCTACATTAATTTGTCCTTTTTACATAATTTTTCTTGTCAAAGAACAATCAGAAAGAAATCAGAGTACTCAGATCAGATGTAACTGTTAACACAACATGTAAATAATATCATGGCTCACTTGGGATGGTAGTTTGAGCAGTGGTCCCCCAAGATGACTGTCAGAGAGCTAATACCCACTCAGATTAAATTCTTTCTTTCCGTCTTTAGGCAAGACACTTCACCCACCTGCAATGGTTTTCAACCACACTGCAAAAACAGATCAATTTGGCAGTTAAGATAATCACAAAATTATTTTGTGGTTTACAGTTAAAGGGCCCCACAATTTTCAAAGTATTTGAGGAAAATTTGTTTTGCTCCAGTAGATATTTTATATAAGCAGATCTTGAGGTCAAAATAAGTCAGCTATGCACTGTCTGCATTTAATTAAAAAGTCTATGTTTAGCGTGCTAGTTGTAGTTAGCATTACCACAACAGCAAAAATCTGGCCTCACCTCTGAAAGTTGTGAAGAGCTCTTATAAACTTATCACAGTAAATAATCAGGATGCACAGAATGCATAAGGCACACAAGGAATAAAATCCACTGCAATAATGCCCCCCCAAAAAGATGACAAGAAACTTGCAAATGCATTTTCTTTGCTTCATTTATTCACATTCTCTCATGACTTGGGCTCATGAGGCAAGATGGTGTTGTAACGCAGCAGCTGCAGGTCCACTGGGGGGCAGCGTGGAGGCGGGGGCGGGGGCAGGTCGATGTCATCATGGTTACCGTTGCTATTGTTGTTGGGGTCAGAGGGCGGGACCAGGAAGTGCCCGCGCCTATGACGATGGTAAAACAGACCAATGAGAACGAGCAGAGACAGGACCAGAGTGCTGAGCAGGAAAAACAAGATGTACACAGCTTTGGCTTCGGATGAGAGTGCTGGGGAACAGTCTGTGGGATGAAAAAATACTTGTGAATAACTGATGAAGAAATTATATTTACAATAATCATTTTCACCTTTGAATTTTTAGAACATTTATTTTAGTTCAATCTTTGGCAACACTACTGTGTGTAAGGAAGTGTCAAAAGCTTTATTTTGACAAGGTGAATTTGTATCACATTCAAATTTTATTTTAGTTCCAGACCAAGAACACATCACAGAAATAAAAAGTAAGAGTAAACTGGGTCTAAACTAGGACTAAACCAGGAAAAACAAGAGCCTCAGTTTCGGAGATGATTTGACCCGATTTCTAAACATCATAACTGGGCCCATGATGTAAGATGATTATTACTTACCAGTATTGGTGGTGCCCACACAGACCGTCCCAGTTCCAGATCTGGACCGGTCCTGGAAGCCGGTCCGGCAGAGGCAGGAGTATGAGCCAAAGTGGTTCACACAGTCTGCATTTGGATCACATGCCATCAGCTGAGTGTGGCATTCATTCACATCTAGAAACAAAGTTTAAGCAAAATAGACAGGACCATAATTGATGGTTGTAATAGCAGAGGATGTGGAAATGAATGCCGTATTGAGACTGCAGTGTTGACTTGGTCCATTACCTGCAGTGGACAGAGACATGACCACCGAGTCTTCCTGTGTTGGTTTGAGTCCGAGTCTGGACCCAATGAGCTTCAGGAGGTCGGAGTGGACTTCCTCATGTGCGTGATGTCCACTGGTCCTCGGCCCCATCTGCAGCCACAGGATAAACAGCACCCCGGCATTCAACCTGCAACCCACAACACCGGCTTTCCCATGCAAATATTCTCCTCTACTGGTAACAGCTGTTTTGTTGTGATATGGCAAAAACATAATTTGCCTTTTTTTTTTTGCTGAGATCACAATTCATACAGTTTTTTTAAAAATCTTCTGTTAAGCTGTAATATAGTTTGATATAAAGAATTATATCACAATTTAGATTTTATCCTGCAGTTAGTATAATTGTTAACCTCCATTTAAGAGGAGAAGTTCACGCCATACGGTGATTGGTTAAATGCACTCAATCATGAAATGATGGGGGCTTTATCTAATGTAGTACACCATTATATGGTTAGATCACAATAAATTTTTGTATTGCCTCATTACCCGGTCCAAGTGAACCCATTACCGTTTAATCCGTTTCGATGAGATGCTCCGAGACACAAATGTAGGCTTCAGCTGATTTTTGATCTGGAGGAACAAAAACAAAACATGTTTTGGTATTTTGAATATTATTAAAGTTCCCTTGATTAACTTGATTCATCATTTTCATTTCATGTTTCACCATTCAAAATAAAAGCACATTAGAAAGCACGCTTGTGTGTTTACTACCCTCTGCTGGCACAATGTGAAATAGAGCATATTGAAATCACAAATAAGCAGCGTTATTAATGTGTGATATTAGTGCAGATGCCAACTAATTTGAAAAAGTGTCTGTAGTATTAAATGGAATTACCAGATTCTGGGTGGAGAGGAGCAAAGTCCTGGCCACATCATTCCAGGGCTCTGAGTCTCGGGACACGTTTACCTCCACCGACACTTCAAACAGCAAATCTAAGACAGAAAGAAAAATATATAATTTAATTATAAAGTTCAGTCCTTATTAAACAAACCAACATAACACTGCATAAACTGGATTTATGGCTAAACTTCAATTCAGAATAATAACCTAAATGACCAGTTTTTACTATAGCTCACGTGACATAGAACTGTTGTGGTCACTAGTTCCAAAAGATCTAACTGGCTCCATGTTCAACATTTTGAAACAAGCAAAATAATTCTGGTCCATCCAGTTCAAGATAATGCAATAAATCTAGCTACTTATTGCAGTGTAAATGGACTGACAGTCATTAAAGCAGACTTAGTTGGGAAGACCAGTGGTTCTTGACCCACAGAACAAACTCATTAGATAAAAACACTGACCTCCTGGGAGATGTAGACTGTGATATTTTGCATGAGCTGCAAGAAAAAAAAAAAGACACACACACACACTTGGATAAAAATATAGTGAATTAAATGAAAAATTGAATTAAATTAGAAGCACAAGTATCATTTGTAATTATATGAAGTTACTATACTAAGAACATTTAATTAATTTTAAGTGTAGCTGTATTATAAGTAAAAGTGCACTGTCTGCCACTTGCTTGTCTTCATTGTTGTACTTTTTGTGACCAAATTCCCAGTTACTTACCACCGGTCTCTGCTCTATGGTCAAATGGCAGCGCTGTCTTTTCTAGAACAGTTTCACTATCCACTTCCCAGTTCTTATTTAATTCTTCTTCCAACTCCTCCAGTATCCCATCATCAGCTTCACTGATTGTCTCCTCCTCTGATTGGTCCGATTGATCTGATTGGTCCATCGCCCTATTCGTCTCCACATCTCGACGAATGGCAGTGAAGACTCTGGGGCTGGGACGGTGCTCTTGTTGTGGGTCAGGTGACCATTCTGTGGCATAAACTGGAATTTCTGAATCTGAAAGGGCTTCATCTGTCTGAAATGTAAACAAAACATTTCTAAGGGGGCACACTGCAGGCAAAACTAGGACAGACTGAATGTGTCTACTGTACACATTAAAGATGGTTAAATTAGAAATCATCATATTAATTGTCATTGATAGATTTACATTGTGAATTGTAATTTCCAAAATCTCTCAATGCATTATTCTCTGAGATCCAAATCCATGTCATTGAAGGTTACAGGATGTGTTGATATCTAAGCGTTGGGCTGAAACATGTGGATTGTTACCAACATTTTTTATTTGAGTTAGTTATTTTCTTTACTCAGAGACCCCAGTGCCCACTAAGACTAAGTAAGAGTTAAAAAACATCTCTTCAATGTCTCTTTGATGAATGTTCCGGTACATGGTCTTTGTTAAATTAACTAATCAGGCCTTGTTTGCACTCACCACGTTCACCTCATCGTCATTAGTTCTGTCTTCTGTTTGTGAGTTTGTTTCCACAGTTTCTTCAGAATAGTCACTGATATTCTCCGAGGATTCGATGGGTGAATGGGCTGGGTCTTGTGGGTTGTAGATCTGAGGCGGTCCAAACGCCTGGTACTGTCCGTGGAAGCCCCTGTAAGTTGGCGTAGGAGAGCCCTCAATCAGCAGCACCACATGCACAGTGTTTGAGGAGGAGGTGTACGTGGCCTCTCTCCAGCACTTCTGCAGAACACTGTGTTTTTGACCTACATAAAGATCAGGGGTTGAACATGAGATTGGGTCCACAAGAACGAAACCTCATTTTGAATCACACGTTTTGACTTAATATGAATATAACATTAATATTATTTTGGAAGTCAGCTATATAAGTATATTTTATTGATAGGATCAGACTGACAAAAATTGTAAAATAAATACATTTTGTCCATATTATCCACATCCAAATAACAGATATGGATATTAAAATTTAAACTATAGTAAAATTAACATATAGGCCTACAGGAAACAATATTTCAGTTGCACTAAAGTAAGCTTTTGTTAACAATAAACTTGTAATGGGAAGAGTGACTAGAAGTATTTTACAAGAAGTAAGCATTACTTCGGCATAAGTACAAGAATGATGCGTGACAATTACTCCCAGAAGAACACAACTTATTCAAACTCTGCATGAAATTCAATAAATGTAGTTCTAACTCATAAGGCAGCCTCAGTCCTATGCAGGGTGTGTAACCGGTGAATTTAAAAACACAATGAAGTGTGAACTGTCAGAAGTTACTTCTTCTAAAAACATTTCAAAACATTACAAGTAAAGTACAAATCATTTCTGAATAAAATTGTGGCCTACAGTTGTGACCTTACTTTGACTCTCAGGCTCATCGATGTGGATTTGGTCCCGTCGCCAAAGACAATCATCGTCGGGGGTGAGGTCGTTGAGCTGCAGGTGGATGCGTTTCCCAGGATGCACTTGAATGGTCCAGTTACACCAGAGTGGGGGGTTAGAACAGAGATAGTCCGGGGAGAAGAACAGTCCACTCTCTCCACCCAAAACCTGGTGACAGCTCCTCAGGGCGAAGAAGGCAGTGCTGTGGTCAGCTAAGGATGCAACGAAATAAATAAATGTCAAATGAACAAACTGGATGTAGCCTACACATTTGACTCGTTGAATTAGGAAATCTTATTTAAAAATGTACTTTGTTACTTCTCTAGGAGAATGTCAATGCAAAATGCCAAATGTATTAATAAAGAATATTTAAAATAACCTCAGGTGACAAAGTGCTATACAGGCAAGTGCATAGATAAGAAAATCCAATAGTAACAATACAAAAATAAAAGATACAGTAAAACATACAGATACAAAAATAAAATAAAATAGTATAGTTATAGTATAGTATAGTATATCATTAAAGATAATTCCACAATGATTTGGATTACAATGAATCAAAAGAATGTTATTGGAGATGGTTTGCCTGGAATGTATAACAGTATGGCATTTAACAACTGACTCCATGAAGACAAGCAGGTGACACCAGCAGAAGACTATAACTGAATAAATGCAAGATAGAGATGTTTAATGCCATATAGTGGAACATTATATTTAAAGCAAGAATGTCTCAATGTGAGAGGCGGGTGGCAGAATCTCTCCTAGAGAAGTTACATAGTGCACCTTTAACTGTTGTGTTTCCTACCTGATGATGGACCAGTGTCTTCCTCATTGCTGATCTGCTACAAACAATATAAAGTTGAAAATTATCAAAACTGCACATTTTCAGATGTCACTCCAACGGTGGACAAAGGAACAGGATCAGACACCATATTAACAAATTATTATATCTGTACGTTTTTTTATTTACAATCTGATCATATTTTTTCAATTCATCAACATATTTTAGAACATACCTGTAAATATACCTCACCTGAGCATGACATAGTTGTAGCCCAAATGTAATCAGAAAAATCACGCTCTCAAAACTCCTCTTCTTCCGTCTCCTTGGAGGCATTTTCATCACAAACATAGATTTTTTTATGTAATATTTTACTGTAAAATCTGACTAAAAGTAAAAGCAGTCAGACTTCACTCGGTTGTTTTCCTCCAGGTCTGAGCAGGTGGAGGCCATTTCAGCTGATTGACTTCACTGTTAGTCTCACTGCAACGCCGCGCATGGCCACCAGAGGCCGCTGTCACACAATGCAAATTTTACACCGTTGTTGCAAGGCTAATGAGAGAAATCGTTAGAATTACGACATTACAGAAGAATATTAATGTCAAGTGTTATAAGACTAGGGTGACCAGACGTCCCTATTTGCCCAGGACAGTCCCAGTTTAGAGCCATGTTTCCCCTGTCCTTTCAGATTTATATAAAACTAGTGATTTGTCTCAGTTTTATACAAGAAATATCCCAGGTAGGGATGGGCATTCGATGGAATTTTCTTAATCGATCGTCGGAAGAATTAACGATCGATTATCGATTAATCATTAACGTTTTTATATTAAAATTATCATCATTATTATTACTATCTGCACTACTAATCTGCATAAATAAATTCAACTTTACGACATATAAACCGTAACGACTCTAGAGCCACATCAATCCGTTTGACATTATAATGTGTTTAATTCATTTTTGTGCAACTCTCACAGAAACGAAACTTAAAACCGCATCGCTAATTTGCATAAACTAAGCGGAAATAAAACTACAGCTCTTGTGCGCTGATGCGATCAATTTCTGTCGGATTTAAAGACATGACACAGTGGAATACAGGTTAGTGTGACCATATTTGCGTTTGTCAAAACCAGGACACCGTACGGGAGGTGGGAGGTGGGGACTCGTCATCGACATCGCGCGACTCACACCTGGCAAAGCTTTTTCGCACTAGACACCGAAACATATGTTCCTGCTTTATACACTGTGCACATGGACTCCCACTTGTCCCGAACGCAACGGAAAGTGTGGAATTTCTTGTACAAGTCATCGTTAAATACGCATTTGTGCTTCGGTACGTTGCAGGTTGACCGAATGTTTGTGTTTGCTCGCTCCTTCTGAGTGCAGAGAGACACATGTACGGACAGGTTTGGTCACGCTACGCACAGCAACCTACATTCGGTTTGTCGATTAAAATTAACGTAATCGATGAAATTCTTAATGATCAATTATCGATTAATCCATCAATCATGCCTATCCCTAATCCCAGGTATCGCCATGTTTGACCAATTTGATCTAAACCAGGTCTAAACTAAGACTAAACCAGGACAACATCAACTCTAAACCAGGACTGAAACAAGACAATCACACTTTTTGATCCCTGCCAACAGTAAAGAGGAACATAATTTGCCATTTGTTTAACCAAAATACAAAAATCCATGTTTGCAAATGACCATAATGGAAAAAAAAATGCATCAAAAGAAGTCCCTCAGATTATGACTAACACAAGAATGCACAATCTTCCACTCTCTTTTCACAATTTTATTTATACCAACCATCCCAACCCAGGTGTGTCCAAGTTTAGAATAAAAAATAAAAAATCTGGCCACAAGAGATGCCTGTTCCTCTTTTAGGTTGTCCTGCCATTTGTTCCTTGTCCCACTCATTTAGAGAATGTTACACTTTTTCATTAAAGGCTGTACGTGATTTGTCTTAACATCTTAAAAACATGAAAAACAGCTGCTAAATTCTTAAAAGTTTAAAGTGGTCCAAAGTTATTCCTCACTTAGCCGACCGTGTGCATTCTGAGTAGGCCTATAATATTCGCTGCAGTGAGTTTATATGCACACTTCAGAGACCAATCGTCAAGATAAAGCTAATAATTATCATGTTATGTCATGTTAAGAAAAAGCTTGCTCAAATACTTTGGAAAAAAATCAGGGACAGGGCCATTAATGCTGTGAATTATAAAAAGTGAGTACTACATAGCCATCAGGGTTGTATTATGCCGCCACCTTTTGATATTGTTATTGTACTTATTATCTATAAACTGTCCCAATCTGTCCCCCTTTCTACAATTTGAAGTGGTACCATATAGGTATAAAGAGTGGTCAGCACCTTTGTCACCTTTGTCGAAACACTGCTCACTGGTTCTCAAACCAATCACACCAAGTACAAAAAAGAAGCCAGAAAAAAAACATAAAGACAAGAAAAAATGGAACAGAAAAGAAAATATCTACATGACTAAATGGTCTAAACTAGGGTCAAACCAGGTCTAAAATAGAAAAAACATCATTGCTGTACTAGTGGGGAGAAATAAGGAGAAAAATGTGGATAAAATTTACTCTACATTAACACTAGAATTGAAGGAATAGAATCTGTACCACAGTTATTGATTTGGTTACTCACAAACTGAGATGAAGAGGAGACGTCCAGTTAGATGTACTCATTTGAATGTTATTTTACTCCAGAATGAAAAATTGCTGCACATAAAAGGTAAAAGGCAGTTAAAGCATTATGCAACTATAAAATCAAGCTGTGGGTTAGATCTGAGGAGAAGCAACGTGCATGTTTGTACAGGATAAGGATCACGCAATAAAACACATAGATTAATGACATACAGAAAACATTCAAGACAAAGCAATGTCCTCACCATGGAGACAAGTTTTCTGGTAGAAGCTGGACCCTCAGTGACATAGAATACAGGATTATACTTTTTAATAAAATCAAAACAACTGCAGGTATGTTTCTGATGAAATAACATTTTAACAACTAAAACAACTAAACAAAAGCAAAAATAAAAACAACAAAAAATACACACTAAAAAAGAGAAAATTTATGCAGAATACAGCATAATAAATTAATAAAATTTTCAAGTCTGTAAAATGGTTCATTGACAATATTTTTTTAAAACACATTCCTGAGTTACAAGTCATTGCTTCCAATGCATAGCACTGTTGTATAAATAAAATAAAATAACTGTGTGGTTAAGTTATCAGTTATTGGGGAGGCTGTTGGCGCAAACTGGCAGCCATGTTTGTGCTAAGCAGAAAGAGAGACGAGGAACTTCTGAACTCAAAGTGCAATATTGATCCAAACCATATGTTTATCATCTGTGCGGATAAGATTGCCTCATAAAGGCTATCGAAAAAAATAAAAAATTATTGACAGTGCAATTCTGGGTGCATTATCCATCTCCATATATGTTTTATTTCTTGTGGTGTCCGACTGTGCACCACCATGAAACTTCTATAAATACATGGATTGTCTCTATATTTCGCTGCTATGTCAAACGTCCTGAATTCAGTGTGCTTTTCTGGTGCAAGACCCAACTTTGCCAAACACATCCCGGTGTATACATCATCTATAGGATAAACAACCACCTTTTTAGCTGCTTCATGTAACTGCAGTGCTACCTGTCCAGAATACAGAAACCCCCCTCCTCCGGCATAAGGGGGGTATGAACCCACAAAATAGCTTTCAGGGACGAAATACTTGAGGTTTTTGTTGCGATGTGGTCCTGCGTTGGTGATGACATCTCCAATGAATAAATCGGGGATCCTCTTTGGGTGGAGCAAGTCCAAAAATTCAATAATTAGTGGAGTGTTTACGAAAACATCATCGTCTCCTTTGAGAACAAACTGAGCGGAAGGACAGAAGGAGCGGAACCAATCCAAAAACAGGAGGTCTTTCAGGGTCAGGTTGAGGAAGGTGTCCCTGAAACGTAATAAAAATGAATAAATACATTTCAAAGTCGGGGGGGGGGAGACAATATAAAATGTGGAAGGAAATGTGGGATTGTTTTTAATCATTGTATAGCACTTTGTGTTACATTTTTTGTATGAAAAGCTCTTTATAAATAAAGTTTGACTGATTGATTGGTATAACATAGATCAGAAAATAGATATGAATAATGTTTTTATGGCAACAAAATGTTGTTTGTTCCATGGAGATGGAGACGTTTGTACTGTGGAATATTCCAGGCAAAGAAATGATATCTCTATGAAGACAAACAGGTGGGGCATGACTACTACCATTGTTTATGTTGTCCATCAATAGCACCAAGAAACTTTAAAGATGCACTTTAAAGATTTTTTTGTGTGTGTCCATGGCAGTGTAGGTTTGCCTACAAAGTTTATTAAACCTAAACCTAAATGTACAAAGTTTATTAAACCTATTATTAAACACCTATCAGTGTTTCCATGGCAACAAGAAAGTGATGCTATCAGAATGTAGGTTGCTGTGCGTAGCGTGACCAAACAGGGGTCCGTACATGTGTCTCTCTGCACTCAGAAGGAGCGAGCAAACACAAACATTCGGTCAGTCTGCAGCGTACTGAAGCACAAATGTGTATTTAACGATGATTTGTACAAGAAATTCCACGCTTTCCGTTGCGTTCTGGACAAGTGGGAGTCCATGTGCACAGTGTATAAAGCAGGAACATATGTTTTGGTGTCCAGTGGGAAAAAGCTTTGCCAGGTGAGAGAAGCGCAATGTCGATGACGAGTCCCCACCTCCCACCTCCCGTACGGTGTCCTGGTTTTGACAAACGCAAATATGGTCACACTAACCTGTATTCCACTGTGTCATGTCTTTTAATCCAACAGACATTGACCGCATCAGCGCACAAGAGCTGTAGTTTTATCTTCACTTAGTTTATGCAAATTAGCAATGCGGTTTTAAGTTTCGTTTCTGTGAGAGTTGCGCAAAACTGAATTAAACACATTATAATGTCAAACGGGCTGATGTGGCTCTAAAGTGGTTATGGTTTATATGTCATAAAGTTGAATTTATTTATGCAGATTAGTAGTGCAGATAGTAATAATAATGATGATCATTTTAATATAAAAACGTTAATGATTAATTGATAATTGATCGTTAATTCTTCCGACGATCGATTAAGAAAATTTCATCGAATGCCCATCCCTAGTTTCTAGAAAATATACTGTAACAAAATGAGTGCTGAGTGAATGAATAATAAAATGTAAAGCACTTTGGGCATCGTGACAGGCGCTCTATAAGTACAATGATTAATTAATTAATTGATTAATTAATTAAATGTAATAATTAAAAGCACTTATATAAATGCAAGATAAATTAGTATTTAAAAGCTGAACTGTGGAACATTCCATAAAAAGCATTAACATGTCCTGGGATACAAGATAGTAGACTCGAGCAGAAAAGGTACCCTTTAATACTAACCTGTAATCCCATTGTAGGATGTCTCCATACATCTCCACTTCATACTGTAACAGTCCAGTCAGATTTGGGTGGTTATCCTCATATATAGCATTCCCCAAAAGAAAAACTGTAGCCACTGTCCTATTGGCAACAACTCCAGCTTGTCCCCATGTTTCTCTTATGGCCTGTCTTCTGTCAAAATGAGGCACTAATGTTTTCACAACCAGCAAAAGGAATGGTGTATCTTCACAGATGGTCGGTTGGTTTATTAACATGGGATAAGATTTACAGTGAGAGTAGAGTAAAAAGTCTTGAAATTGTTTTGGAATCAAGTTGTAGTCCACAATTTGCTGCTGGACCCTCAAATGTGGTTCGCAAGGATTGGATTTTGGCTCCATATAATTCAACCAATCAGGTAGCTCCGATAGGGAATCAAAGGTGGTATTGAAAATAGGATTGTGAATGAAATCTAGTCTCTGTTGCTCCAGATTCCATAAGGATTTGCTCACCAGATGTTTTTGCCAAAATGTCTTTGTTGGAATACGGATTTTTGAATTCTGTTTGCTCCAAGTAAGTGTCAGGAAAATACATCCGATGATATTGCAAACCATAAATGCGCAGATCATTCGAATTTTCAGTGTCATCTCTGCTCCTCTGTGGATCTGAAATTAAGAAAAAAAGCCAGTTGAAATGCCAGAAAGAATAGTCATTATAAAGAGGTAGTGAAACTTACAGCACCACCTGGGTATAAGGCAATATTAGGAAACATTGGATGGCTTTAAAGAACATCTACTACCACTACTATCCCTACTACTTTTAGAAACTACATCAGCTTTCAATGCCAGGTTTAGCACGGAGTTCAGATTTGCAATGACAGGCTCCCAGGAATCACGCTTTTCCAATTTAAAGTCACATGTCAAGTGCTGTGTGGCTGCAGTATTATCATGGAAGGACCTTTTCTAGACCAAAAGTAGAGTAATAAAATATACTGAATTATTAAAATATATTAGTTTCAGTAGTCAGATGTGATGTGTTATACAAAGAATGAAAATTGCATTGGGCACTGGGCAAGGTAAAAGAAAAATCTAAATAATTACATGTTTTGATAAATTAATTATTTAGTTTTTCAGTTATGAATGTTGCTATAGTAACTTATTGTTTGTATAATTTTAGTGGCAAATACAGGATATAAGTTGTCCATAAGTAGCCTATAGAGTCTTTAGTTTCAACCTGACAAAGTGAAAACACCTAAGCTAATGTTATCTGAACCACATCTAAAAAAGAGAACCACCCTTGTATTATTATTTTAAGTGTGTAAACCAGGTTATATGTGAACAAAACAATTCTGAGAAAAGAAGTGTGTAAATTAGACAGAAATGTGCTCTTTTCAGTGTATCAGTAGGTTGATATTTTATATGAGTCAAACACCTAAAAAAATAAATAAATAAAATAAAATGTTTTAATTCAAGTGATGTGAACAAAAATACATTTATTTAAGTTACATACTACTACTACTACTACTACTAATAATAATAATAATAATAAATTAAAAAAAAAAATTAAATAAAAAAAAAGAAGAAGGTTTAATCCGTGGCTAGCTACCACGCTTCGGTTTATCCTTGGTTAGACCTGGTTTAGTTTTGGTTAAATCAACTTTATTAGTCCTATTCGCACGGGACTAGTTTAATCGGGATAAGTCTGTAAAATTCAAAGTACGCTGCGACATCTGAGTTTTATGTGTACATTCGTACGTGATAAGCAATGTCAGTAAACCTGTTTTTACGGACTTTATTCCGGAAATGGCGGTCTGATAAACACAACGAAACAAGACAAGAACATTTTAATTGCTATGGTCGCCAACGTTGCTTTATTTTTAACAGATCACACCTGCATGTAAAAGCAGTGTGTCTTACCGCACTGACACGATCGGCGGTCACAATGACACCCACACGAGATTTCTCATGAAACAGTCGCAGTCTCTCTTTTTCAGTCCGTTACTGCCTGTCCATCTAAACTTTATAACTTTGCCTTGGTCCTCGGTTGCCACGACTACGAGGTTATACGTCCGGGGTCACGCCTTTATATATGTGATATGTCCCTTAAATAACGTTTTTATTGTATTGAAAAACACAATAACTGGATTAAAGTAGCCTATAGTCTGTGGAGAATAAATATTGTTGATTTAATTCGTATTTTGACCTAAAATACATACACAATAAATAATAAAATAAGTACATAAATAGCGATAGATAGATATAGAGATAAACTAGACAAAATAGAAGAAAAATAGAAGAAAGTTACAAAGACATATGTACAGATAACATGTGAAAACTACAATAAAAACACCAAGATAACCTGACTAGCTAGTACTAAATGCCAGGGAGAAGAGATGAGTTTTCAGTCTAGGGGACCCCTGGTAAAACTAATTTAATCTGAGTCTTGTTTTAATACAATTTCACCAGAAAGAGCTGTGTTGCTTGGAACTACAAAAGGTAAAATGGGTTTCAAAGTTATGAAAACTAAGACAGTTACCATAGCAACTGACAATTCACAACAATATTTGTAAGAGCCATTTTAGCCATGCTCAAAAGCAAGTTATTGTTTGTTTGTTTGTTGTTCATTGTATTTCATGTAATTAAAAGTGTAAAGTTTCATATAGAAGGATTAAAATATATAAAAAGTAGGTCAAATACATTAGTTTAAATTAAAAACAGGTATATATGTTTATTAAAAGAATGTATTTGTGCTACTGCTCCCTTTATCAATGCAGTGTGATGTCATCCACTAATTTTGTGTCAGTTTAAGAAAGCCTTCACACCTCATACTCCTCGCTCAGTGTGGCTGTTAAAAGCTAGAAATGGTCGCTATTGTATTTTGTCAAAAGTCCTCACCATGGTGCTATAACAGGAAAATGCATGAATAAACAACATTATTAGCCTCACCTGTTCACAGCAAGTCTCCTGCGTCTCGTCCTATTTTCACATAATAATCTCTCACTGTGAAATATTCTGCTTTGAACAGGTGTTTAGTTTCTGAGCAAACTTTATTTTTATTTTTTTACATTTTTTACATGAGTCTTATCAATACTAAGGCAGGTGTTAACACAGTTTTGGGTAATAGGTTAATGAATACTGATATGAATACTAACTTTACTGCCATTGCTGCTGATACTTTTCCTTGTACTGTTTTAATGTGTAGGCAAATAGATTTTGTCTTGCTATTGCCATTACATGTATTGATCACAGGTGGAAGAAGAACTGTTACTGAAGTACAACTACTGCATCCACTACTTCCACCTGTGATCATACAGTACATCAATACATGTAATGGCAATAGCAAGGCAATAGGTTATATATATATATTTAAACTGATGCCTATTGTTACTACTACTCATATGATCGGCGGTGACAGCAGTAGCTTATATATGTATGTAGGACTCTGTAGTAAGTGGTAGTAATACTACTACTGCATCAACTACTATTGCAACTAGAACTACTACAGCTATCCACTAGTCTAGGTTTTCTCTTCAACTATACAACACAAGACAGACTAATGACACATTCACTTTCTTATCTAATCTAATTTCAAAAGGAAAAAAATCATAACCCTATGTACAGTGAAGACATAGGGAGAGTTTAATATGGGTCAGATTGTGATAAATAAATCTTCAGTGTACCAGAGTTACAATGGAAGGCAGGTGCCCGCAAGTCTGAGCCAAAACTGGAAAATCAGCTTTTACTTGGAAATGTATTTACTTATAACTTTATTGATTAAGATTATGAGAAAAAGTTCTGCATGTGGAGCATTTAGGAATTTTCTTTGTGTGGTTAAATTGGAGCAGAGCTTAAATTGCACATTGCAAACACCAATTAATAATTTACAGGTGATGTCATCAGTGTTCTCTGGGGGTGTGATGCTAATTGCAGCTCTGTTACTAAAGTCAGATTTTAATATGAGCTTTATTTTAACACAATTTTACCATGAAGACCATTAGAGATACATATAGAGCACCCCCAGTCAGATGTCACTGCAAAGTATCAATTAAGAAGAAGGAATGATTCAATATGTTTGTTTGTTTTTTTTTCAGCTGATAATAACAAATTTATGATAAATGATAGTGAAGTTTACAAATGAACTTACCTGCAGGAATATAAAGTCATATTTTCATATTGAGCTTGATACTGATTTCTGTTTCACTTGCAGAGGCCCAGTAATTACAGATATATTACAGAGGGCCCATATTACTATCTTCTGTGTGTAACCGGGGGAACAGATTAGTAAATCTAGTAAATGTGATGTCCAGCCATGTCAGTAAACACAGCAGTGTAATCATGTCCAGCGTAACCGATTGCTGACTGTAAAAGGGTGCGCACATGAGAGAGCTAAGTAGTTAAGGGCTGTTATTGCTGGTGGTGCACGTAACTGGGAGACAGATTGTCATTTGTAAAAATAAAACACAGAAAACTGTCATTGAAAAAGGTACAGACAGAAGTCCCTCAGATTATGACTGACCCACAAATGAGTTGAGAATGGACAATGTTACATTCTCTATTCACAATTTGATTTACATCAACCATCGCAACCCGAATGTCTCCCAGTTTTGAATTTTGAGAATCTGGTCATCTTAACTACAACACTGCTGTTGTATTTTGCTCTAATTTCTCTTTGTTAAAGCTGTAGATTGTAGATGTATAGTTGTAGTTGTATGTATATTATTTATTTATTGGTCAGGATTATTAGTGGAATAGAGGGTTGGTGCAATACTGGATAGTTATTTCAGATTTCACGCCACACACTTTAGGCTTCTGGCACAGAGCATTTTAACTCAACGCACCTAAATCCAGTTACATGAAAGCACTTTATACATGTTTATACACACATGCTAAAAAAAAATTCTGAAAAAGAATATTATAATTATTTGATTTGTTCTTTTTCTTAAACTCCTAACCCCCTAGCTCTACATTTTGCGTAAAAGTCAGATAAGCTCCTTCTAGTTTTTGTGTAACTGTCGTTTTAAATCAGTGGTTTTGCATGTCACACTGCAAGAAACACTCTGGACAACAGCATTAAACTGTTTATATCTTTTTTAGATTTAGTGATAAAGGTGTAATATTGTTAAATAATGCACACATGGTTCCCTTTACGCCAACACCTTTATGAACTGTCTATGATACAAGGGACTTATTCTACAATTTCTTAACTAAAACTGTTACATATTTGTGCACTGTGCACAGTTGAGTTGAATTTTAAAGGAAGAAAATTTTTATTTATAAAGTAATTTAAAGTGATGTCACGTTAAGTACCCTGCAGGTCTAACACTTGAAAACATGCAGAGACAAATTTAACAATAGTAAGTGTTTGCTTAAAGCTAAAAAATGTGGAGGGTGTGGTGAGGAGAAAAGATCTGGTGTTTGAAGGATATTGTGTGTATAAAGTAAGGATGGAGGTTTTTCACATTCTATGATCTGTTTCCTGAGCATTTTGGATTCAAACATAATGTAGAAGGGACTGGCTGGTCAGACAAATGTTTTCTCACATTTAAAAGATGTTTTAAACCCATTGCCCCCTCCCTCACCCTGGCAGTAACCTCAGCCATAATCTCAAAACAAGACCCTAATCTTAATCATAATCCTACAGCAATCTAAACCCCACAAGTCCTAAACTAAATAAAATAAAATCTCTGTGAAATGTGGTAACATATAGGCACATGGGGAAGTAGGAGCTTTTTAAATTTTCTAACAAACATGCAACAAAGCTAACACTAAACTAACCATACATATAGAGTGATATAGAGTCATTTTATTCACTTCTGTTCAGATGTCAACTACTATTACAACTAAGCAAATAGTGTTATAATCTACTGACCCAGAAGTTGTTGGTTCAATCCCAACTATCTCCATGCTGTTGTTGTGTTCTTGAGAATGACACTTTGCCCATTATGTATGATAATGTTAATCAGATTAGTTTGTAATAGCTGTTAACTAAATACTTTCTAAGCAAACCCATTGTTTAACTATCAATATTTACAGTAGCCACATGCATTTTCACTCACCTGAATCTTGTCCTGGGTTAGCCTTTGCCTCATAACCAGTATTGTTCTCCTCAGAGTAGTTTCATTAGCTTCTTTAGAATGACATTTGACTTCCTGGTTTAGTAGTCCTCGTGTCTGAACACATTAAGGTGAACAGTTTATTGCAGTGGAAAGGAAAGCCCCTCCCAAAGTGTCAGCTCCTCCTTCTCTGACTACAGGTCTTCCAGTGCAATAAACTCATACCAGTGTATCCAATAATCAAAACACTTCCTATTGTCTTGCAGCTGTGTGCACCACATTATAAGATTGCCAGGTTATCAAATACACAGTATGATGAAAATATGGCTATATCGCTTATATTAAAACACTGCAAAAAGATTGCCATAAACTTCCAAGGACATAAAATGATATTACTGCTCTTTGGTGGGTAATTCTACCGTATTGCATTTGTGTGATACTCAAAACTCAACTACATTTAATGGCATGTTTTTAAAAATTCTATTGTGTAGTCATCATGTGTAGAATGAAGGACCCATGTTACAGCTTTTACATATTGTATTTTTAAGATACAAATTGCAAAACCTACCTGGTGCTTTTTAATGGTTTCATTCTGGCATCTTAATCCATCTGCTCTCTCCTTTAGTACAAAACCCATTGTTCCTTCTGCTGATGTCACAAGGTGATGCCTTTTAACAGGAAGTGCTCCTCCGTGTTTTTAAAGTTCATACATCTTCACTGGACTATCTGTAATCATTTCAGAGCTAAAACAGCCATCAACACAAAACATGTCTTGCAAATAGTTAGCACTAATACTTGAGTCTTATCCACACCAGTCCATGCGCCCTCTGCTGACGACAATAGGTTTTGTATGCACAAAAGTGAATGCAGCAACACCTTTACTTATTTCCATTGAAATAATTTGGGGAAAACCTAAGGATGAAATAAGAGACAGAAAGTCATGTCATAATACTACTAGATCAAGTGTAACTGTACAAACCTTATATAATCACAAAGGTCTAGAGCCTGGATTATTGTAACTAATCAACATTTAACCTTTTGCCCCAGAAGATTTTATCCAATCTCATTGTTTACAGTAATCCCCCCAAAATAATACTGTCCAGTGTGCCTGACCTCATGTGCAGATTATAGTTGGAGTTTAAGACCTTTGGACAAAACAAGCTCCAACAGGAAAATAATTATTGAGGAAGAGGGAATTACTTTTGCCTAAGATATATTGAACTTCAACATAGCAAGCTAACAAAGCAGGACACATTTATATTTGTTTTCAAATGTTTGCAAGTGCAACAAAAGAAAAACTTATCATTGTTTCTCTATTAAAAGATTTAGTCACTGATAATGTAGGGTTAGCACTGATTATCAATATTTCACTGCAAAGGGGTCCCTGGTTCTCGGACCAAATCGTTTGCATGTTAAGGGTTTTAAAGGTGTGTTCAATACTTGCACTTTCTCCAAACCAAAATTGGGACCAAACTTGGACTAGATGAGGATTAAACCAGGACTAAAATGGGACAAAATCAAGACCAAATCAGAACTAAAATTATCACAATTTAGAATTACATAATGACAAGTGTGAACATACTCCTAGGCATTAATAAACCAGAGTTAACACTTAAAGGTACATTGTGTAAATTTTCTGGTGGAGGGTCTGTGAAATGCTTTTCTTCATGAAGAGGTTACTGCTTTGTCTGAAATGTTTCACAGTATGATATTAAATCTTTCTATCTTCATGGAGACCACACCAGGCCAAAATCTGTGAAGAGGCAACCCCACTCACAATCAGAATGAGTTTTTCTCAGTCACCACAGATGTACACTGTAGTGCCATGACCGCTGACCAGGCAACGTGGCAACAGGTTTCACATCTGCTATACTGATGAAAAATAATCTAAAAAATTTGTGGATGGTAGCTTTAATTCATGGGTTTCATCTTTATGAGTGCCATTTTGAGGACCTTTCACCATTCAAATGAAAGCAATTAACAATTCATCAAAATATTCCATTACTACAGTGCAACTTTTAATCACTCTGATACCCATGGATAAAAGAGACTGTGGTGGCTTACACGGACCAAATTCCCTCACAGCAGTTTAAAATTAAAACAAACAAAAAAAAGATCTTGAGTTACATTTTTACTTCAAAATCTGTAAGAAACTGATGTTTTTAATGTATAAATGGCTCACATATGCCACAATTGTCTCTGGAGAATCAACCAGAAACACTGATAATGTACATATGACGCTGTAAGTAAATATTTACATGGTAATAATAGATATGGATAGACAACTTTCACAGTTCATGGCAAACAAGTCTATTTTAGACAAAACAAAATATAATCTACAATTTGTGTTGAAGTTGGAATGTTGAAACAGGCACATTATATGTCAGTCTTTTTCAGTCTTGTTCAGGCCTCCTCAGATTTCTGCGGCGAGCGGTGGACGATTCTGTCAATGCTCTGCTGAATGTCGGCCATTTTCTTCAGCAAAAGATTCACTTTGCTCTCATCCATCTCCAAACACACAAACTCTGAACTCTAAGAGAAAATAAAGACATAGGTCATTGGTAAATTAAAATTTAAACATTTGTGATATAAAGGTAACACATTATTTTGATGTGATTTTGTGCTATGTAGTCTAGTCTTACATTTTAAATAATGTTGGGTAAATGTAAACTCACTCAGGGGTTCCAATATGTCCTGTGAGCTTGTGGTTTTTAATTATTTGTATAATATTAGTGTTATTTACATTTCTAATAAAAAATACAAAATAAATAAATAAAGTTTTATTTGACTCCAAACTATATATGATAACTAAGAAAAACAGCAACTTCTCAAATAAGGCAGCAGCTTTTCACATGTAATTTAGTAGCAAATTAATTTAATTCGTGATCATCCTTGTACAAGAAAGTATTTTAAAGATTACCATTGCACGTGAACTTCTATAACTTTCAAGAAGACATTTTATGTTTTTTCTGGGTATTTAGTATTAAACTATAACATATGGAAACCATGATCTTACATTTGTTCATTGTAAACATCAATACTGATCTAAAACATCTTATTAATAGAAACAGGTCAAATAACACTGTTAAAAACTACAGAATCGCTATGTCCTGCCTCCTCACAGTGGCATTTCCCTACATGTATGACTACACTAAAAGATTACTTTTTAAAGCACTCAAGCCTCAATTGCAGGACAATACTGTATTACTTAAACATGCACGTAAAATTTAAATACGACTTTGCCAATGATGAGGGGAACATAACAGGGTTAAAAGAAAAATTTGATTTTACATGATAGGTCCCCTATCATCATCATAGCGCATGATGATGAATGTAATCAATAGTCTGTACCTCTCCTGTTCGTCCCAGCTCGATCTCCACCAAAGCGACTGCTCCACTATGGGCTGCATCTCCTCTCCTGTCTCCCGCCTGGACGTCCACCCTCCAGCTCACGCCCCTCAGCGCAGGCTCCCAGCGACTCTGGTTCAGCAGCGCTTCTCTCACTTTGGGACGGTGAGTTTTCCAAAAGCGAGTAAGCACTGCAGCCTGCTCGGAGCTCAGGCCCGCGCCACCCTGACGCCTCTTCGTCTGGGCAGTGAGGAAGGCATCCAACTGCCCCTGGTCCATATCTGCAGAGGCGATGGACTGACAAGGCAAGGCAAGTTTATTTATATAGTGCTTAAGGAATTTAAGTGTGACATATAAGGAAAGGGTAGGTGAAATTAGATAAAAGAAAACATACAGTTTTCCTCACAAGTTTAAATTGAGACAATGGTGGCTCCATATGTGAAATATTTTATTTTGTACAGTTTTAACTATGGTGACCCATCATTGTTAAAATTTTGTCCTCATAGTTATCTGTATTAATGGGAATTACTGAAAGAACAATTTTTGGAGCCTAGATGAGGCTTACCAGTAGGTACACTAAAGTGTCTTTTTCATACATACAGCACTGGGAATATGATAATGCCAATAGCACCAATACCAATAGGGCTGCAACAAATAACCAAATAATCATGACTACTCAATTTAAACAATCGTAGTCATATTTTGATAAATGTAATTGTTAAATGGACATACAAGAGATCTTTTTAATATAAACACAGTAGTATTATATTGAATACAATTCTCATCAAGAATAAACAATGTCTTGTTTTCGTCAATGACACACTTTATTTGTAAATATTATTAATAGAGACCTTCAGCCATGATATTTCATTTGTTTGGTTATGATTGCTTTGGTTAAAGCATGTTACAACACTTGCAATTCCATACATTTACTTAAACTTGCAGCAGACTAGCTAGTAGTAGTGAGAGTCATTTAAGTTCTATTACCTTGAGCAGTCCCCTCATTTTCTCGTGTAAAGCGCTAAACTCGTCCTGTGACATTTCCGGATAAAGTTCATTCTTCAGTAGCTCCTCTGTGATTTCTGGATTGCTGTAATACACTTTTTGAGTGATTCCGTTCAGCAGTCCGCTCAGAGATTTTGCTGCATCGGTGTCCGCCATGTTTGTCTACTCACGTGAGAGGGACGTGACAGGTCACGTGATAGGAGACGCTGCACCTTTTATAGTTTACGCCAGGGGTCTCCAACCTGTAGCACGGGAGCTACATGGATCTATACTAAAAACAACCCACCACACTTAAAGTAGACTACAAACAAGTTCAGAGAGTGTCACAAGACTGCAAGTGTATGTGTAAGTGTGTATTCTCTTGCCTACTGTAGGTGTGCAGGTGTTTTCTCTCAGTCCTGGTCTGACTCCACACATTTAAGAACTCAACATCAAACAGGAGGAAGGAAGATCAGCTGCACATGTCTCAGACACTTTCAAACTGCAGTTCTTTATATAGTTATTCATTAATTCTTATTCATTTCTATTACAAATACTCTGATTGGGTGTCAAATATATAAATATGTATTCAGACTTTAGTGCTGTGAGCATGAAGACTGAAGAGTCCTCACTGCTTCAACAAAGACAAATTGAGCAAAAAGAGGACACACAGGCAGAGGACATCAGAGCAGAGATGGATCTATTAAAATAATTTACCTTTGGATGTCACTGAGTTGCTCAGAAGTAACACCGAGGGTGAAGAATTCAGTGGATTTAGGTAAACTTGTGATGTTATGTTGTTTATGCTATAGCTATATGAATAACTTAATATCTTACGGTAATGGCCTGTCCGCTATTCTGTTGTTATTACTATAACTTGCCTTTCAAGATAAAATGTGTGTTCTTGATCTCTGACGTTATAAAATGCATTTCCCCAAAAAAGTATATATTATATTCCAGTGCGACTTATATGTTCTTTCTCCTTATGATTTTTTTTATATATACAGAAACACATCCAAGAAGCACAGCAAAAAAAAAAAAAAAAAAAAAAAAGTAGCCTATCACATGAAAAAGTACTATATAATAATATTAAAGCGCCTGTAATCTACTCCAGTGTAGTGATTTTGATATTGATATTTGTGCTTGTTCAATAAAAACAATTGCATTTTCATTTTTTTCTGTATATTTGTGTTTGTTCACACTACAAATGTGTTAAAAAAAAAATAACCCCCCAGGCCTTTCAGCAGGTTCGAAAGAATAATAAAAAAAAAAAAAACTTTTCAGTTAGCTTAAAAATCTAGTGGAGTAGAAAGCACAAATACATGCTCTCAAATGTAGTACAGTAAAAGTAAAAAGTATCTCTTTCAAATGTTCTTAAATGTGTGAATGAAACAAACAACTGCACGTATGTTTGTGATGAGGAAACAACATCATAACATAGATCATTATAACTTATTAAAATAAATATATGACCGAGAGCATCCACGGATCGCGATTTCATTCATATAAAAATGTTCTTATACTAGAAGAAGAGACATTTTGGGTGCCAGGTACGAAAAACTGTTTTATAATTTTTATTGGCAAAAAATGTTAATAAGATTTGGAGGCAGAATGACAGTTGTGATTTGAGCATTGTTGACCTACATACCCGTTAGCCTATATTTTTTTCTGATGTAATAAGAGTATGCTTTTTGAATTGTTTAAATTAGGCTAATCATTGTTTTATATCTCAAATAATGTACCATTTTACGTCCAAATTAGCTACTTATTAGTTCATACACCTCATTTACATTTAATAGAAGAAAAAAATTTAACACAAGTAATAACAAGATGGATAAATAACTAGAAACTTATTAAAGGTCGTATACTGTGCAAAATTTACTCTTGTGAGCTTTAAACCATGTTACCTCCTCAAAAACATGCTCTGAGTTGTGTTTTGTTTCATTCACACATCTGAGTAACCCTTTTTTATTAGTCTGTCCACATCTCCAAAGCTCAAACTGTTCCACCTTGTGATGTCATGAAGCTATAGTTTTCATGTTAACGGCTATTTTTTACCTTTAGTTCACTGGAGAAAGGCAATGCCAGAGCTGAAATTATCCAAATGATTCAAGTGAAGGTGTGTGGAGTTTAAAAACACAATGGAGCAGCTTAGCCCAAATATACAGGGTTTGTGTGGTGAAACCTCTGCTTGCTTCAGCACATCCGAGAGACGCCCCGAGAGAGCAGAGACAGAGGATGTTGTTGGGATAGGCCTGTATAAATAGGGCTTTTGGGTAACTGAAGGTGTGGTTGAGCTGAGCTTGGTTTGCTGGAGAGGAGCAGGGGGAGGTTGAGGAGTGGTCCTACTCCTGAATCTAAGAAGACAACAGACCAGAAGACAATTAAATAGAATACATTTTGTTGTCCACCATGAATGCACTTAACAATGAGTTGTGTGTAAGAACAGTGCATTACAGTACTTACATTATGGTGTTTAAGGAAAATGTTCAGGTTTCCCAGGGCCTTGTGTTCACTGTGTTGTGTAGCATTACGGATGCCATGCGCCGCTCGGACAGGGTACAACCTGTGCGAACGCTGTTACTCAGCAGAAGTGTGTGAAGGAGGCTGAAAAGTGTCCACATCCACTTAGGTACAGGCGTCAAACCAGTTTTGGAATAAAGGCCAAAATGGGGTGCAGGATCAATCTGAGATTATCACAGCTGAATCGCATACAAGACAGAGGCACCGATAAAGCATGAATATCACTGACATGTTTGGCAGTGGCCTTCCATTTCTGTCCCTGGATATAAGATACATGGATATAAGCCTCCTTCCTCCACTCCTCCTCTCCACAGTTCTATCTCACTGGAAGAAAAACACAAAAATAAATACTAGTACTTCAATAATTTATACTATAAATATAAAAAGCTTACCTGTTGTGAGTTAGTCACACAGCAGTCCCACCTCAGGACATCAGCCTCCCTCCTGACCCAGTCTGGACCTTGTGCAAAAAACACAAATATTCAATATACTTGGAGGAGGGACAAATACAATGCATAGAACTCTTAAGTGTACCTGTATTTTATATGACAACATGGATATAAGCCTCCTTCCTCCACTCCTCCACTCCACAGTCCTGACTGTAAAGTTCCATCTCACTGTAAGAGAAAAAGACAAGTAAATGTACGTCAATAATTCAGGACTATAAACAAAAAATTCCCTGTACTATATATTCTTTGCTTTTGTTGCCTTCAGTGTTTTCCCCTCCTCCTCTCTTTCTGCAGGATCACACCTGCCTGATGTTGGAAGCTCAAAAGAAAAGAAATAAGTATTATTTTCTGTAAAGTAATGTGGTAATAATGAATCAATACTTACCATTTTGGTCTAAATATAAACTACAAAGACACAGGAGAGGAATTCAGCTCTTCAGTCTGTAAGAAAGTGTTTGCTGATAGTTTTAATCTCAAAACACATACAACACAAACACAAACAGGGGAGAAACCTTTCAGCTGTTCAGTCTGTAAGAAAACATTTGCAAGGAAGCATCATCTCACTTCACTAGCGAGCAGACAGAGTGAGACCTTACAGCTGATCAGCCTGTGTTTTTATTTATTGCAGTTTGTGTTTTTGTAACTTTTTGTAATAGTTTTTAGGGATAAACCTGCTGTTGTCTCAGTGGCATAAATTAGTTTCAGTCTTAGTGTTTATTGTCTACTATATCGTACTTGAAAATGTGTAGCCCCTTAGGTGTGTATCCTTGTGTATATTTTTTTTAAGTGTAACTGTGTTTAGAGCTTATACCTATCGTTTGACAGTAGTTTGAGCAGCTTTTGAGTTTTTATGTTTTTTCTATATAAAAAGCTCGTCTCGTCTAGTAATGAAGCTCTGTTTGTGTTTGTGGCCTACGTTTCAAATAAACATAATAAACATAATAAATATATACGTAGATATTTCAGCAACGAAGAGAGATTGTCTCCCAGAGGTTTAATCAGAAAGTTAATTAGCGTATTAAAATTAATTAAAGTTTGTTTGAATAAAATAAAGGCATAGAATCATCATAATCATAGGGTTGTAACATTGTTTTAATTATTTGTAATTATTAATTATTTTTAATTATCTACATTTCTAATTAAAAATAAATAAATAAAGTTGTATTTGACTCTAAACTATATATGATAACTAAGAAAAACAGCATCTTCTCAACTAAGGCAGCAGCTTTTCACATGTAATTTAGTAGCAAATTAATTTAAACTGTGACCATTCTTGTACAAGAGATTATTTTAAAGATTACCATTGCACGTGAACCTCTATAACTTTCAGGAAGACATTTAATGTTTTTTGTGGGTATTTAGTATTAAACTATAACATATGAAAACCATATTTGTTCACTGTAAACATCAATACTGATCTAAAACATCTTATTAATAGAAACAGGTCAAATGACACTGTTAAAAACTATAGAATTGTGACGTCCTGCCTCCTCACAGTGGCATTTCACTGCAGAAAGCAGCTGAATTATTTGTGTTTTTAATTGAAGACATTTTCCAACCCTACATGTATGACTACTTTTTAAAGCACTCAAGCCTCAATTACAGGACAAAACAGTATTACTTAAACATGCATGTAAAATTGAAATACAACTTTGCCAATGATGAGGGAACATAACAGGGTTAAAAGATAAAGTAGATTTTACATGCTAAGTCCCCTTCAAAGAGTATGATGATGAATGCATATAATAGTCTCTCCTGTTCATCCCAGCTCAATCTCCACCAAAGCATAGACTCATCATAATCATAGGGTCATAACATCGAAATGCATGGACACAATGTCTGTTTTTTGTGTGAGTCACAAGAGGATCATTAGCACATTTTTTGGTTAATTGTAAGAAGATCAAAGTGTTTCTTGACAATGTACAATACTACAATTTATACATCTCATGATATGTTTTGTTAAACACTCAACTATGGACATGATTTGCTCATTGAACTGTATGTATGTATGTATGTATGTATGTACGTACGTACGTACGTATGTATGTATGTATGTACGTACGTATGTATGTATGTATGTATGTATGTTGATTTTGTCTTCACACTGCCTTATCTGTAGCTAACTCATACAGATAATATGGTGAAAAAAACACAACCAGTAGAGCTTTTGTAATTTGCTGATTTAATGTGAATTTACATATGGAAGTAACATACAGTATTACTTTCCAGTTGGAGAGGTACT